GGGCCCCAAAAAATTGTGTTCTTGATCCGCCCTTGCATAGAGCGAGTTATCTAATGGTTAATAGGCACCTGGTCAGCTCTCCTAAAGGATGAGTAATCTATTGGTTTAAGTGTACAGGCCTACCTTAGTCAGCTCCTACGAGGGTGAGTTATCAAACGGATTATTATCAGTCAAGTAAGGTGCCTTGTCAGTCTCACAAAGGGGTTAAGGACATTTCATGTGGTTTAAAGAAATACGGTCGTTTTAAGTTAAAACAGAAAAAGAAGAAGTGATAATTGATATTTCAAGGCCGTCTTAGCGATTGTTTCCATGATCCAACACTACCGGATGTGTCGTTTGTACAGGTGAGGGATGTTATAGTATCGTGAAAAAATGGCCTGAAGAAAGGCACCTTACCTAAGTCTACAAGAGTTTTTTATTGACAACTTTTTGAATGCGATCTTATGTGTTTTAATAATGTAAATGAGATCATGACATCGATATAATCATTGTGATTATGGCAGCCCTTGACATCATGACACAGACGGCGTCAAGCCCGCTGTAGCATCCATCTCATTGGGTGAAGGTGGCACGAACCAGGTGCTTGAAGACGCCGTCATAAGCACCATGGATAAAGGATTCACAGTAGCAGTGGCTGCCGGGAATGAGAACAGCGACGCCTGCCAGGTTTACCCTGCAAACTTCAAACGGGTAGGCCTATATGCTTGCATGAACTACTTGTAAAAGGTGCATCACTCCATGGGTTTCATTGGCTGAAACTTGCCATCACGTGACTGAATCCACCGATGGGATTCATGGTGGGAAAGATCATGTACAAACCGATGGGTGCAGAGTTGGTCCACTTGGTCAATCACCTGGGGTAAAATTTGGCGTAAAAAATCCGATCGTAAAACGCGAACCTTAATGCTCACATTTTTACTGTAAAGGTCGCATGAATGATGACTTCAGAGTGAAGTGTCTAGACTTTGAAAAGCAAGATTTGATTTGACTGGAAGGGGAGCAACGTGGGACTAGCTTCATTATAAAAATTTGGATGACATTTGAATATAATTAGAGGGAGATTTTTTTAAAAATGAGTTAATAATATGGGGCTTTATCAACCTCGCATAGTAGGCCTAAAATAAAACACCATTCACGCGAGTTCACGTTACATTTTGAATGAATGAATGTGTTTTTATTTCCTGCAGGTCATAACCGTCGGTGCATCAACAAAAACTGACACTCGCTGGTACTCTCCAACCATGGTAGTTGTGTAGATATCTTTGCCCCTGGCAAGGATATCACCGGGGCGTATATTGGCAGCGATTACAAGGTAGAAACAGTGAGTGGCACCTCTGAAGCCACGCCTATCGTTGCAGGTAACAATTTGTATTGTTTTAATAAGCCCCGCCCCTTTGTGTACTGTTAGTTATGAAGCCCCGCCCTATATTCAAATAATTCACTTCAAACTGCTTAATGTCAAACAAAACTTTGTTTCAGTACCGCAAGGTAACTCAGTTTTCGTTGAATAAATTATGTAAATTGATGATTATGAAGCATGCAATTCCTCATGAAATAAACTTAAAATCAGCGTTGTTCTTTGTGGAAAATTTTATGTCATTTTTTTCAGTGGTTTCCCAAAAAATGTTCGGAAAATATTTTTGTAAGTGTTCTCTCCATCCCATCCAGCCGGCAACGGCATGAAGAAAACCCCACTATTCCTTGTACCTGAGATAAGTTATCAAACATCTACAGGTGTATGAGGTTTGATTTAATGTTGTTTTACATGTCTTTCTATCCTGCTTTTTATTTTAGGAGCTGCTGCTATTCTTCTGTCGACACAGAAAGATTTGACCCATGATCAAGTGAAAGCCAAGCTTCTCAGCAATGCCACACCGAATGTGCTTCAGACACCGCTGCCGGCGGGATCACCTAACCTACTGGTCTATGTGTAAAGTGCACTCACTCGATATGAGCAACAAACTCATTCAAAAGATGTAATTCAAAATGCACGACCGTTGGTTGGATATTAACTTCATTACCTGTTGATTAATCACGAATCACGTTGATTAAACACTTGGCATATCATGATCTTGTTTGGAGAAATCTGGAATTTCCGGGATAGGGGAATTGTCTCCTTGCTTAACATTAACGATGAAGCAGTAAACAAATATAAAATAGATTTTGATGTTTTTGAAAGATCGAACAGCGAACATACATCATCTATTGATTAATATTAACACTGTTTTGTGTTTGTTGCTGTTAAAAAGTATGCTCAAGCTATTCAATTCCTTGAACAAAATGAGGATTTCACACCAGGAATCGTAAGTTGTTTTCAGTCTTCAAAATTATTCCTTCGAAATTGAAAACTCTGTGGATATAATCGAATTGATTATGGTAGGCCTACATGGGTTCTACAGGATGAGTAAAAAAAAAACGAAACCCAAATGTCGGGACCATTGCTTTAGTGAAGTTCTGCATGTAGCACTTTCAAAATCTAGGATATGAAAGCCCAATTCATAAACTTTCTTTTAGTACAAGAATCATTCAAATCACTTATGTACTTTTCAAGTTACGAAATTTTAAACACAACCACCGTTTTAAAGTTCTGTCCACGGACCACAAAAAAGATGCGCGTTTTTTTTCAGCAAAACAAAACAATTCAAACACATCCCTATCTGTTTTAGTTTTGCTGAAAAAAACACTTACCTTCTTGCGATCCGTGGACAGAAGTTTAAAACGGTGGTTGTATTTAAAATTCCGTAACTTGAAAAGTACATGAGTGATTTGATTGATTCTTGTACTAAAAGAAAGCTTATGAATTGGGCTTTTATATCCTAGATTTTGAAAGTGCTACATGCAGAAATTTACTAAAACAATGGTCCCGAAATTTGGGTTTCGCTTTTTTTTTCGACTCACCCTGTAGAAGGGCAGTTTAATAATGATTTGAAGTCGTCAGTACGCATCGCTGTCTGCTTGGTTAGTTACCTTCCTTTGCCTCTCCGTATGGCCCCCAATTGGTGGATCAAGTGGGAACGGGGTCCAATTGGTCTCTGGTAGTTGTATATCTACCCCTCGCTGTGAGATCTCCTAGTTTTACCATCGTGGTGACGTTTTAGGCTTTTGCCTCTGAAATTCAGTTTCAAGGACAAGAGCAGAAAAGAGAGAATGAAAACCAATGTAAAATTTGTCACAGAAATTAAATAAAGCGAGACAGATACCATCCGGGCGTATGGCTCATTTGTCATCGGATGTTGCGAGATCATCCGTGTCGTTTGGGTGAAATCGGAGGAAGATGTGCTCAAAAATAAATGTTTCTATTCCCCAAGAGCGGAAAAATAATAATGAAATAGTAAACAAAATGGAAAACATGTGAATGAATAAAAATTAAAACGATCATAACATAAACCAACGTAGCTGTGATGATTATTTTAATATATCTCTCATTGTCAGTTTGTCTTAATATATACTCCCCCTCAGCTTGTTGTTACAAAGCAAGTGAAAATAATTCATGTCATTTGAAGGACTTAACGAGACGACATTTGTAGACTGGTCAGTGCCACTGTCACGATGTACAATGTGCCCTGTCTTTTAACATCAACAAATGATGCGACTATCATTTTCTGTTTTACTAAATCAAACAGATTTAAACAATATGGAAGATTGGAGATCTATGTCTATATGATCCATAATCATCTCGAGAAATGAATCATTCGATTATGGATCAACACATTAGTATAGGGCAATCCGCAGGGAGGATAATGTTTGCGAAAATCCATGATTTTAAGAACACATTTATAAAGACCTTAACCTTTTAGGTGCCTTGAAATTCGAGATATATGGGGAGGCAAGACGAACACCACAACCAACTTGACATTACAGAGCAGGAAAATAATCAAGTGCCTCATCCATCCGCAAACTCCCAATACTACGTCTTCATGTCTAAACCAACCCTCTCGCGACCTCTCTCTCCCAAACCGCACCATCCAATCCACCCCATATCGCTCCGTCGTTCCCTTAGACTCTTCATTCTCTCAACCTGAGAATCCGACACTTCATTGCAAAATGTCTCGGCCTTATAACACTAGTCCGGACTACTCCAAGCTCAAACACAGTCTGGTGAGGCTACGATGACGTAGGCTTGGTCTGTCAATCAAGCGAGAATTGGCGAGGAATGGAGTGATTTCGGGGCCTGAAAGCTGAGGAAACGTGACACCTAAGGGTTTCAATCAATCTCAAGCGTCTCTCCTCCAACTCTCTGCCCGAGCATAGTCAATGCCTTCATTGAATTATTACCAGTCAACTATTATCCTTCATTCTATACGTTGTTCTTTATTCTCGTGGGTCTACATTTTGGTTGGGTATAAGGAGGGGATTTTGATAGTCGGGCTTCCAAAAGGTCAGGCGGACACCCAATCACGTTATTTACTTCCGCAGAGGTCCTTGGCTTTTCAGATTTTTTAATCCAGAAAAACATATATATTTAATAGAATGTATACTGTTTTAGAATTCATTGAATATTTAAAATAAACAAACGTGATGCCAACGAACACTTTAATTACAACTCCCGTATACCGATGGTTATTGCATAATATTAGTTCCACACAGCTAGTTTTGCAGGGCGTGTAATAACACACTAGTTACAATTTCACAAACTGTATCTCACTCAGTCTTCGTGAAGAAAAATATGTGAAACCCGCCATCACCCACGTGGCCGTGATGTGTATGCACAAAATGAATTACAAGCGGGGTATTTTGTCGTTTATAGTTGAACAAATTGGCAGTTGTGAAAAGAAACGCCACTGCCTTGGTATACACAAAAAACTCCCCCACACATTGTTTATTTATCTAAAAGTAGTTAAGGGGGAACGGGTCATGCACGTAAATGCATTGTCACTGTGGATTAATTGATTTGATATGATTTTGATTGAACCACGCATTCCAGGAATTTAGGGGTTGACGTGATGTTTGACACCCTTATGACGTCATACATCATGCTGACCATTTCGTCAAAGCACGCATCAGGCTAGGCCAGATAGCCTAAGGCACCAGACAACGCCAGACTAGAACTTCCAACTGATATCAATTCGAGGTCTTTCAAAGATTTTCCTAAAGGCAAATCCCCATGCCTGCAGACAGTCGTACTACTGATAATAAACGAGCGAGATATACAAGGAAACGTACTGGGGATTCCAGACAAATCGTGTCGTCCATGCACTCGCAAATCGAGGGCCGTTTAGTACAAATCCGGTTACTTATGGCTGTGCTCCGTCGGTCTCTATATAGGCCCAGCTGAATTAAGATTCACTTCTTATTCACTGTCACGAATTTCTCTATTTTTTGCCCACGTACAGCAGTCTGAAGAATACGTTATGACGACGGTAATTTATTGTAATACGGCTAGAGTTTTGCAGGATTGCGTTTCGGTGTTTTTACTATACGATAAATCTGTACTCCGTTTTCTTAGGGCGCAAAGTAAGTAACTCAGACTGTTAACAAAATATTTAATGGAATTTGACAAATTGTTCGTATTATACTTGGCTGTTTTGTAAGCACTATTTGATTTTCGAGCTTAAGCCTTCACACTTTTCTTGGCCGTCATTTCCTCAGAATTTTCATCATTCAAATAAACAATTAAGTAATTGTATCGTGCATTTTTTTTGTAAAAGATGATCACACCATGCTTTCAAAATGTAGAATCCTTCAAGGTTTGAGAGGATACCGCAATATCGAACTCCCCAAAGACCAAGTTCGTGCTTTGTCTCACTCCGAGAGGATTTTTCGAGCTTAGTCGAAATTCATATCAAAGCCCTCCTGTGCCCAGAGGGCCTTTAACCCATAAAATAAAGCTCTTGACCGTCATTATAAGTTCTTGTCTTCAGTGACGACCAGAAGGTGTTGATATTGACCTGTAGTGACAGTGTTATGAGGTATCCAATCTTACGTCTCCAAACATGTGGGGAGGGTCTATTAGAGGCGTATTAGGCGTGGATTTCAGCACCGTTAGCAGGGAGCATCTGCCAGGAATCGATGCTTCGACAGTTTGTGATCGATGGACTCTAGTATCGAACACCTGCCTCTTAGCCTCGTTCAAGACTGAGAGGGAAAAGTGGAGGCATTCTGTGAAGTGAGGCATTTGAATAAAGTGGAAAGTTTAATACAGTCGACGCTTCAAGAGGAAGCAATGGAAAGCAATGTCTTCATCTTTTGCAATGAAAAGAGGGACTTTAGCCTACGAAAGGGTTTAAGAAACACTCAAAAGTGCGTTCAAATGTATCAGTTTGTACAATAATACCCAAGTGGTAGAGGCTTAATTGTTTTTTAATTTTAATTGATTGCAGATGTTCAAGTTAGAGACAGTACAGTGGATACCAACCAACGCATTAAAATGTGTCTGATTCCAGTATAGACCATCTTGGATATTGGTAAACGAAAGTCGACAAGAAATTGAACACTAGATCCTAGTCGAGAAATTCAAAACAAAATTGCATCAGGTGTCTTTACTGGCTTAGATATCAACGTGTATTTGCTGTTACCCACAAAGGGAATATTTTGTATAATCGGTATTTATGACTCCAATAATCTGATATCTTTTGCCGGATGGCTTGCCTAGATGGGGAGTCGCACATTGCAGAGGACAAGTATGGATTACGGAAGGCTTGGTGTATTGCAGATAGCCATTCCCTATGGCCAAAGACATGTTGACCGGACAAATTCGGCCAGAGGGCGGATGCTACCCTATATAACGACAATTACCAATGGTGCCAATGGAATTGTTATGGTGAATAACCCCGGCTATATGCACGGTCTTTGATCTTCCCTGAACTACTTTAGGCAGGAACTGGATCGGATAACAAAGTGATTTTTCTACCATCTATCGATCTGTTGTGCAGGTCACTGGAAATAAGAATTATTCATTACTAAGCAATGAAATAAGAAACTCGCTGGATGTTGA